ACTTGCTTCTCTTTTCCTTCTGCTGCTTCCACCCCTACCTCCCATAGACTTCTGCTCCTCATCAGCAAAATATAGACCTTGTCAAGCAATCAGAATGTTCCTAATTTGCAGAATACTACTTAGTGCCTGAGATTTATAATCTTTTGAGTCTTCTTGTTTTCCTTTCATCACTGCTTAATAGTTCTGTTTGAAAAAAAAAAAAAATCCCCCCTTTCCTTTAAGTCTTAGCACTGCTTCTGATAGTTGGAAACCACTTGTCTAATAACAGAAGCATTACATATAAAACAAAGTATAACCAGTTTTGGAGTATATTAGGGTAGTTGCCCTCCATATCAGGTTTGATGCTGAGAAGACATTCCCAAGTTCGCATGAGATTCTGGAAATAAAAATCATTATGTAACAAATAATGAAATAACAATAATTTCAAAATTCCATGGCTTTCTAAAACAAAAGACGGAACTCAAACAATGAAAAATTCAGCAAGACAAAAGGGTAGGTGCTCAACAAGTGAGATACCAACCCTAGAAAGCAAGAAGTCTGTATCTGCTTTCTTAGAGTTGTTGAAGAAAACCAACTCTTTCTGCACACTATATATAAAAAGCTTAGCAGCCTGGGCAACCTGGCAAAACCCCATCTCTACCAAAAATACAAAAAAAATAGCCACATGTGGTGGCACACACCTGGGGTCCCAGCTACTTAGGAGGCTGAGGTGGGAAGATTGCTTGAGCTTGGAAGACAGAGGTTACAGTGAGCTGATATTGTACCACTGCACTCCAGCCTGGGTGCCAGACTGAGACCCCACCTCAAAAACATAAAATAAAAAAATAAAAAGCTCAGCATTGGCTGGGCATGGTGGCTCATGCCTGTAATCCTGGCACTTTGGGAGGCCAAGGTGGGTGGATCACTTGAGGTCAGGAGTTCGAGACCAGCCTGGCCAACCTGGTGAAACCCCATCTTAAAAAAAAAAAAAAAAAAGTTTGGCATAATGTGTGGCCCATAGTAACTGGTCAATAAATAAATATTAGTTGTTATTATTCTTTCCAGGTGGCCAATTAATGAGATTTTACACCATAAGATGGGAAATTAGATTTTATCAAAGCCTTTAGAAATGTTTTCCACTTGGACAATCCTCCATTTCCAACTCACTGCTATAGTTCCACTTAATACATTTAAAATAGAAAGTTATACTACCTACCTTCCCTGCATATTTTGTGTAAGTATCTTCCAAGACCTGTGTATCTTTTCCCATCATCTCTCAGAGTACAATTCCTGAAAAGAGATTTTTTTAAAAGTCTTTTTTGTGCAATAGTCAATGCCTTTGCAAATAACACTATCTTTAATACAGCTTACATATCCTCATTTGAGTATTTAATAATCATAGCAGTTCATTATGTGAACAGCAGTGAAAAGGTTTAATCACTGGATATGAAGTTATTAGAAGCAGCAACGATATAACCAAATGACCAAATTGAGAACTTCTATGTCAACAGTAAAATAAAAAATCACAACAACAACAAAAAAGCATATAAAAGTTATAAACAAATGTAAAAATACAAAAATACAACTAAGAAAAAAAAGATTCTATCTATAAAGGATTACTTATTTCCTATCCAGAAGGAACAATCTAGAGCAGTGACCCCTTTTGACTATTGTAAATTAGTTGCCTTCCTTTAAGTAAATCTGTTCTGATAAAAGCAGTTTTCAGAAACTCATTTGAAATTAGTAATTAAAGCAATGTCATCAAAATAATATGAGAAACACAGTTTCATCTTTTCATCTTTAGGAAAGGCACATAGTTGCAATCCAATTAAACAGGAAAGAAATCAGCCCTCATTTCAGATGCTGAACTGGCAGCAGTACTTTCTTTTCTTTTTTTTTGAGAGGAGTTTTGCTTTTGTTGCCCAGGCTGTAGTGCAATGGGGCAATTTCAGCTCACCGAAACCTCTGCCTCTCAGGTTCAAGCAATTCTCCTGCCTCAGCCTCTGGAGTAGCTAGGATTACAGGCACGCAACACCATGCCTGGCTACCTTTTTATTTTTAGTAGAGACGGGGTTTCACCATGTTGGTCAGGCTGGTCTCGAACTCCCAATCTCAGGTGATCCACCCACCTCGGCCTCCCAAAGTGCTGGGATTACAGACATGAGCCACTGCGCCTGGCTGGCAGCAGTACTTTCAACTCTACCTTAAGAAAATGGCAAGTGAATGCATCTGTCTGCAAACTTTTGAGTCCTTAAAAAAAGGCAAACACCACAATGAGACAACCACTTCACACCCACAAAAATGTGGAGAAACTGGCAGCCTCATCCTCTGGTGGTGGGAATGTAAAATGGTGCAGCTACTTGGGAAAATAGTCTGGCAGTTCCTCAAGAAGTTAAACACAATTATCTTATGACTCACCAGTTCCACTCTTAGGTGTGGAAAATGAAAACATTTGTCCTCGCAAAAACTTGTACACAAATGTTCATAATCGTCCAAAAAATTGGAAACAATGTAAATGTTCACCAACTGATGAATGGTAAACAAAATCTGCTATAACCATATAATGGAATATGATTCAGCAATAAAAAATAAAGTACTGGGCCTGGTTCGGTGGCAAACACCTGTAATCCCAGCACTTTGGGAGGCTGAGGCGGGAGGATCACCTAAGGTCGGGAGTTTGAGACCAGCCTGATCCAACATGTAGAAACCTGGTCTCTACTAAAAATACAAAATTAGCTGGGCATGGTGGCACATGCCTGTAATCCTAGCTACTAGGGATGCTGAGGCAGGAGAATCGCTTGAACCTGGAAGGAGGAAGTTGCAGTGAGCCAAAGTCACAGCATTGCACTCCAGCCTGGGCAACAAGAGGGAAATTCCATCTTGAAAATAAAAAATAAATAAAGAAAGTACTGACACATGCTATAAGATGGATGAACTCTGAAAACATTCCAAATGAAAGAAGTCAGTCACAAAGACCATATATTAGTTCAAAATTCCATTTACGTTAAGTGTGCAGAGCAGGCACAGGCACACAGAAAGTAAATTAGTGGTTGCTGAAGCTGGGTGGGGGAATATTCGGAGGTACTGCTAATAAGAATGAAGTTTCTTTTTGGAGTGATGAAAATATTCTACTATGATTGTGACTGTTGCACAACTCTGTTCATATACTAAAACCCACTGAATTGTACGCACTAAACCAGTTAGTTGTATGAGAATTACATCCGAATAAAACTGTTACAACTAATTTCTTCCTTAAAGATAGCTAAAAACAATATTATTTTTATTCAGCCTCTTTGAGTACTAGGAAAAGGCTCTAACAGTCCAACCAGCTTACAGTATTTAAATCCAGTTCCTACTCTCTGCACACTTCTTACAACCAAAAAGTATTCGCCTTGCACATCTCCCAGGGACCAATTTTTCCAAATTTCCTGGACTATCTATCCTTAGGCCATGTAACTTTTTTTTTTTTTTTTTTGAGACGGAGTTTCGCTCTTGTTTCCCAGGCTGAAGTGCAATGGCGGGATCTCGGCTCACCGCAACCTCCGCCTCCTGGGTTCAGGCAATTCTCCTGCCTCAGCCTCCTGAGTAGCTGGGATTACAGGCCCGTGCCCAGCTAATTTTTGTATTTTTAGTAGAGACGGGGTTTCACCATGTTGACCAGGATGGTCTCGATCTCTTGACCTCGTGATCCACCCGCCTCGGCCTCCCAAAGGGCTGGGATTACAGGCTTGAGCCACTGCGCCCGGCCCCAGGCCATGTAACTTTTAAGGAAACATAAGCAAAACCTATTGATTCCATTCTGAGAAGATATAAGCATATTATAATGGAAAACTGGTGTGAATAAGTAATTCCTTAATATGTATCCTTTCGGCTGTAAATCTGGACAAAATAAACACAAAGGGGGAAAAAGATATCTTGTCTAGCCCTGGACATTTGGAATTATTTTTGTGTGCTATACCAAGAAATGGAAAAGTTGTAAACCATTCTGTTTTCTGTATGCTAAGGATCTCCTCAGAGACAAAAATAAATCGACCCGTTTTCTTCTAAGCAAATTGAAATCTCTTCCTTAAACAAAGAGCTTAATTAAGACATTGTTCTAAGCTCTTTCTCCCGAAAGCTATCCCTAATGCCTCATTCCCAACCAAAACTACTTCATTTCCCCTTGTCCCCTGCCCCTATTACTACTGACGAGCCCCAAGAACCTTACCTTATTTCCTTCATTGTGGCAAAGTGTTTCAGAAAAGGGTTCTTTGAGTTAAAAGTCGGCGTATCCTATTTGACTCCCGCTCTCGGGATGGCTGGCCGAGAGCTTCCCCGTATCTCCGCGTAGGAAAGCTACAAGATAAGGGGCAAGAACACTATACGCATCTCAGTAAACCACGTACTTTGGGACCGATAATTTCTTCAACATACCTAGGGCACCGCGTTTTATCCCTCTTCCATGCCCCTTCCTCCCGATATCCTCCAGTGCCAGAGACCGCACCCGGAGACTCATTGGCAAATTTCCCGATTCGCCTCAATTTTTGTCCTGCCTCTCTGCTTCGCATTTTCAGGCTCGGTCTCACAAGAAGGACGATGGCGCCGGATTGTGCCAGAATGGGTGAAAACCGGAGGAAAACGAACCCGTTACGACAAAACCCACAATCCTGCCTCCAACCCAGGGGGAGGAGCGGTCAAGTACACGTCTTCAGGACCAGGCCCTTCCGATTGGCTGCTGCGACAAAACGTGGCCTGTGATTGGCTGCAGTGCCGGCGCAGGGCCTTCGGAGAGGAAGTGTGGGAGTCCCGCGCCTCTAAAGCCCGCCTTTCCTGTCAAATAAAGGTCGCAGCCGCCGGGTCAACGGGCGGAGCTAAAGTGATCGTGATTCATGCAGTCCGGGGACCCGGAAGGTGGGGCCCCACGTAACAAAAAGATGACCCGAAGTTGCTCCGCAGTGGGCTGCAGCACCCGTGACACCGTGCTTAGCCGGGAGCGCGGCCTCTCCTTCCACCAGTGCGTATGGCAGCAACCTCTGAGCCCTCGAACTACCTGCGGGGCCTGACAGGCCTTGGCGCGGCGTGGGGCGGGGCAGGGCCGTACTGTGGGTCGCGCCGTGGGTGTGACGCGACGTGACGTGCACAGCGTAGGGGCGTGGGAGCCGAATTGGGGCACTCTGAGAGTTGAGGTTCTCTGTCTCCCCGCTCAGTATTGATCTCTGAGTAGCCGAGTCTCACTCAGTCAACCGCTTTAGCGAGAGTTCCTCGAAAGGAGCCCTCCATTAATTTGATGGTCTTACTATTTAAAGTGAGGAGGCCAGAAGGGAAGGCAGTTTGGGACAAAGGTTGAAGTGTGTGGCGTCTTTCTGAGCACGAGGACAGATCACTTTTCTCCTGTACTGTCTGACACTGCAAGTTCTTAGGTGCTATTAGACGAGCTCTATAAGGTCGGTCGGATTCTGACTGGATTTGATCATGGCAGGGAAGTTTCATTTGGCTCGACAGTGGGGAAGAATTTCAGACCAGTCTTATCTGAACTCATATCCATGGTTCAGACTAGTATAGGTCATTCAAATCAGTATTCAGGGTATAGTGGCAAGTAGAAAAGTGGGTAAAATAGATCCTTACAGACAGAAGGAGATGGGCTTCAAAAAGAAATAGTCTATTAAGATAGTAATAAGATGTAGAGAGTTAATGATAAAGCAGTTTTATGGAAAGATCGAAAAGAACTTCATGGTGGAAAGCGGGGATAGAAAGAGGGTAGCACTTTAGGAGCAGCATGGACAAATAAATGTAAAGGGTGGAAAGTGTGAATATAATATAGAGGAGTGGAAAAGTATCTGAGAAACAAAGCATTTCAAAAATTTAAATGCCAGGTTAAGGAGTTTGGACTATGTATGGTAGCTATGTATCAAATTCATTAATTGTTTTTTAAATACGGCTGATTCCTTCACCTAAATTGTTAACAGTGTGAACCAACTCATTGTGTATGTGAGATGATAATTGATTTGAGATTTTTCTTATGATAGAGGTAGCTTTAAACTAGGGAGACATGAATTCCAATTTTAATTGTTTACCGATGTCTGTACGTGGCTCTGGGTCTTGGTTTCATCTTCTGTAAGAGGAATAAAAACCTGCCTTGTAGAGTTTTCGTAAAATCAAAACGTGTAAGTCTTTACAGCTACATATAGCAAAACATAAATGATTTACAAGTGGTATTACCAATTTAATTTTGTCAAGACCTCAAAACTATTTATGCTAGTTAGACTACAATATTTCCCAGCCTTTTTTTCTCTCTTTTTATTCCTTTTTTTTTGAGACAGTGTCTCACTTCATTGCCCAGGCTGGAGAGCAGTGTCACCATCACAGCTCAGTGCAGCTTCTGTCTTCCAGCCTCAAGCGATCCTCCCACCTCAGCCTTATGAGACTACAGGCACAGGCCACCACAATGGCTAATTTTTATTTTTATTTTTTAGTAGAGATGAGGTCTCAGTATGTTGCCCAAGTTGGTCACCAACTCCTGGGCTGGCATTACAGGCATGAGCCACCCCACCCAGCCCCAACCTTTTTGGTAGCATTTTACACATAGGAAGTAATTGTTTAATACTTTGGGGCAAAACTACAGCACTGTTTGGGGCTGCCTTTAACTATTCAGGTGTCCCAGGCCACCCCACGGGCTAAGAAGATCAACAGCTGTACTTATTAGGCATAACAGTTGGGAAGCTTTGCATCTGAAGACCATGGTAGTAATAAAAGTTGGTGGACCAACCAACTTTTGAGGGGTTCCTTGTACGTTTAGAGACTATGCCCAATCTGTGGAAAAGCTGCCTTGCAAATATGTGCCATGAGTTAGAAAAGAATTCAGTGAAAAGAGTTCTTTTGGAAAAAGATTTGCCCCAACCTTATTGGAAAAAGAATTCCCTGTACATTTTCTCTTGATCAAGTATCATCGTCTTTCTAGAACAATAAAATTATAATCCCAGAAATAGAAACAGTTGTTCCTAGGAAAGGCCAAACTTTGGATAGTACTTTACAGTTTAAAAAGTAATTTTGAATACAGTTGTAGCCTCATACACTCTGACTACACCCCATGAGGAAGTTCAAAGATTGAGACTTGTATCTAGTGCCATATAGCCGGTCAGAGGTCACTGAAGCTTAAATACAGGTTTTCCGTGAGTGTTCTTTCTCAAGGTGATTGAGTATCTTAGAATTATGTTTTACCATACTGCTATATTTCTCTAGCAATTAGCTGAGAAAATGTTTTTACCAATCTCAGTTCTAATAATTATGTGCTTTAAAGCCTAAATTAAAATACACAGAAAGCATAGTTACCTATAAATCTGTCTCTCTAAGATAAGTCAAAGAAGAGGGGGCAGAAAGAGTAGTTTTGTGATTTTTTTCTTCTTTGTTTGATGGGAGACCACCGAGTTTTGTGATTTTTATTGTGTTAATTTCACAAGTTTATTTATTTTTTTTTTTGGGATAGTCTCGCTGTCACCTGTTCGTGCGCAGTGTGGCATGATCTTGGCTCACTGCAACCCCCACCTCCTGGGTTCAAGCGATTCTCCTGCCTCAGCCTCCTTAGTAGCTGGAATTACAGGTGTGGGCCACTATGCTCAGCTGATTTTTATATTTTTATTAGAGACAGGGTTTCACCATGTTGGCCAGGCTGGTCTTGAACTCCTGACCTCAAGTGATCTGCCCCTCTCGACTTCCCAAAGTTCTGGGATTACAGGCATAAACCACCACGTCTGGCCAACAAGTTTCTAAACATAATTTGGCTTGGATTGAAAAATAAATAAACGCAAGGTAATTTTTATAATCAAGGCTAGGAAGAAGTAGTGCCCTTAAACATGAAAAAATTGATTATAGTAAATATACTTGTTTGTTTGTTTTTAGAGACAGAGTCTCGCTCTGTTGCCCAGGCTGGAGTGCAGTGGCACGATCTCAGCTCACTGCAACCTCCACCTCCCGGGTTCAAGCGATTCTCCTGCCTTAGCCTCCCGAGTAGCTGGATTACAGGTATGCACCACCATGCCCAGCTAATTTTTTGTGTTTTTAGTAGAGACAGGATCTCACCAGGCTGGCCAGGCTTGTCTTGAACTCCTGACCTTGGGATTACAGGTATGAGCCACCACGCCTGGCCTGTAAATATATTTGTTTTCTACTGATGCATAACAAGTTACCTCAAAATTCAATATAAACGTCTTTATCTCACACATTTCTGAGGGTCAGGGATTCAAGAGTATAGCTGGATGTTATGGTATCTCATAAGAAGGCTGAAGTCACCTGCTTTCAAAAAGACTAACTCAACATAGCCTTTGACTGGAGGCCTCAGTTCCTCACCAACTAGTTTTCACCACAGGACTGTTTATAACATGGCAGATAACTTACCCCAGAGCAAACCATTCTATATAGGGAGCAAGGAGGAAACCTCAGTGCCTTGATGACGTAGTCTGTGGTCACTTACTGTCACATGTGCTTTTTCCATTCCTTAGCAATCACTAACTCTAGCCCATACTCCCTCAAGGGGAGGGGAATTAGGCTCCTCTTTTTTTTTTTGGAGGTGGACTTTCACTCTTGTTGCCCAGGCTGGAGTGCAGTGGCGCGATCTCAGCTCACTGCAACCACTTCATGGGTTCAAGAGATCCTCCTGCATTAGTGTCCCCAGTAGCTGGGATGACAGGCACCCACCACCACACCTGGCTAATGTTTTGTATTTTTAGTAGAGACAGAATTTCACCATGTTGGCCAGGCTGGTCTTGAACTCTTAACCTCAGGTGATCCACCTGTCTCAGCCTCACAAAGTGCTGGTATTAACAGGCGTGAGCCACTGCGCCCAGCCAGCCTCCACTTCTTAAAAGGAGGAGTACCAAATACTTTAAAATCACCATTTTAAAGGAAAAGATGCATATATTCTTTAACCATTTAAATTTGAGCAATTTCTGTTAAGTAGGAAGTGAAGACAAAATACAGTAGGATATTTAATATGAGACTTGCCCCTCTATAATTGACACGGGCAAAATCAGATATTGAACTTTTGGATTAAAAAAAATCAAAGAATGTTGAAAAATGAACTGAGCTAAATTAATTAAACTTTTAATTCACTTGGCTTTATGTTTCTATAAAGCAATAAAATAATAAATGGGTTTATATAACAAATACAACTGTAGTATTACTATAATGTTTTTTATTAATGGAACTTTAATATGATTGCCATAGATTTCCAACTGATACCATACAGCGCTCAAAATGGATCAGGGCTGTTAATCGTGTGGACCCCAGAAGCAAAAAGATTTGGATTCCAGGACCAGGTGCTATACTGTGTTCCAAGCATTTTCAGGAAAGTGACTTTGAGTCATATGGCATAAGAAGAAAGCTGAAAAAAGGAACTGTGCCTTCTGTTTCTCTATACAAGGTACTTAAATGTATGTGTAAGTGAACAAAACTAGATTTTACAGAGCCTTTAAAAATCAAGATAGCTCCCATTGTAGCTTGAATTTGCAAACAAAAAAAATCCCAAGTCTTAAATCTACTAATAGATTTTAAATGCTTTGAAATTAATTTTTTTAAAAAATCTGTATTTGTTCTGGAGCTTTTAAAAAAGTATATAAATGCAAATCATTTGTCTAGACATATGTAAAGGCTACTAACCAATCACAAAAATCAACTAGTAGATATAAACAGCCTTAGAATACAAGTTTTTGTTAAATATTAGACAGCTTTCATAGTACTTTGAAATTATCTATGTTTTTTGGTTCTTCCAAATAATGTTATTTATCTTAATCAAAAATATACCTAATTATTAACATTAATATAGGAAGTATGTGGGACATAATGGAACTTTCTATAAGTGAGTCACCAGTATTGTTGGTATGATAGTCTTCTGTTTCCTATGTTCCTATGACTGTTTTTATTTTATCTTTTTTTTTTTTTTTTTTTTTTTTGAGACAGGGTTTCACCATGTTGGCCAGGATGGTCTTGATCTCTTGACCTTGTGATCTGCCTGCCTCGGCCTCCCAAAGTTCTGGGATTACAGGCACGAGCCACTGCGCCTGGCCCCTTATTTTATCCTTTTACCCCTTAACCACAACTCTGACACATGGACTTTCATTTTCTGCAATCTGTGATAGCCACCTAACTGTTCTATCCCGACACTAGCCTTACTTTCCTCTGAATCATTAGAGTCTCCTTTCAGTATTGGTTTATCTCATTCCCCTATTCGGAAGTGTTTCATTGGTGTCAAATTCAAACTCATCAAGTTCCAAGTGCTTCCTATTAACTGATTCGTACATTTTTCACTGCCCTGAATTCTCTTTTCAAAGCATATATACTTACCATATATATGCATATATATACACACACATATATGTGTGTGATAAGTTTGCCTGCTTTCATACTTTTGTGTAACATAAATAATGGCTGCTATGTATTGAGAGCTACAATGGTCCAGGCAATGAGCTAGGAGATTCACATAAATTCTAATATTGTATCTTCAAAACAATCCTGTATTATTATCCACATTTTACAGATGAGGACACAAGAGATTGTAGAGTTTATGTGACAGCTAACTGAGGGAGCTAAGATTTAAATGCACATCAGTCTTAATTCCAAAGCCATGTTCTGTCCACTATGCCTTCCTTTTTGCACAAATAACTTCTCTGTCACCTTCATTAATCATATTATTGTACCTTCAAAGAACTACTTGAAGCTCACTTCCATGAAGCCTTCCCAGTTTACTACCACCTCTCCCTGGTTACTTTATTTCAGAAACTTTCAACATCACATTAATATTTCTGCATATGTGCAAAAAAAAAAATACCTGGTTATATTATCCTATAAACTATACATTAAAAAATTCAGAGATTATGACCTTTTCTTTCGTAACTAACTCTCCACAGCAACCAGATTAGTACTTCTTATTTAGGATATTTTTACAGATACTGTACTATGTATTTCTAAAATAACTTTAATTTTATGTATCGGTCATAGGTTCCTCAAGGGGTACATCTTAAAGGCAAAGCAAGACAGAAAATCCTAAAACAACCTCTTCCAGTTAATTCTCAAGAAGTTGCTACTGAGGACCATAACTATAGTTTAAAGACACCTTTGACGATAGGTGCAGAGAAACTGGCTGAGGTGCAACAAATGTTACAAGTGTCCAAAAAAAGACTTATCTCTGTAAAAAACTACAGGATGATCAAGAAGAGAAAGGGTTTACGATTAATTGATGCACTTGTAGAAGAGAAACTACTTTCTGAAGAAACAGAGTGTCTGCTACGAGCTCAATTTTCAGGTACTTCCCCCCAGTAACCTGTAGTATTTATAAAATAGCTATGTTTTGATATATTATTAAATATTTATTTTGTTCTTTCCTATGAAAACATGCTTTCAGCTGGGAAGTGAGTCTCAGTAGCTTAAGCAAGAAGAATGAAAATTAATCACCAAAATTCTTTTACATTTTATGCTTTTCCAATTATAAAAGTAACATTTATTATAGGAAAAGTAAATAAATATTTAAATAATTAAAATAATGTGTAACCCCACTACCCAGAGATGAGACTGTATGGTTTATACCATTTTATGTTCTGTACTTTTTTAGTACAGAACTTTTTGTGGTAGTTCTTACCCATTTGCTACTGCAGATTTATTATAAACAATTTTAACTATATATAATTTTACCAAAGTCTTTTTGCAGTGGAGTTGTACTAGTTTGCAAAATTTCTTTGAGCTTAGAAATTGTGTATCTTCACATTTTTTTTCTAAAATATTCTATATGGTAGATCTATAAACCCACTGAAAGGCTACCCAGTCCTCTTTGTGAACTAAGATATTTTTTAAAGTGCAGAATAAAAATTGCCAGCTTATTCTTTGATGAAAGCAGCAGAGGTTTGGACTTACATTCTAAGAAAAGAGAAACATGTCCTGTTTTTAGAAAAGAGTAGCTGTCTCCAAAGAAGGAGAATATTTTATGTTTTTCCAAGAGGGGAAGAACATAAATAGGAATCTCCACCAGAAACATAGTTTTGTTTTTTTTTTTCTCTCAATATTAGGCAAGATGGTCTGTTCAGTCTGAATAGTACCCTATCCCCAGAAATGTTTTTCATATCTAATTTTCACCCTCAGAGAAATAGTAAGCAGGGAACAAAATAAAATAAATAAATGTCCTCATTTTATTTTCTTTTCTGTTCCTCTAAAAATCTCTAAACTCAGGCTGCCACTGAATAGGGAAACATAATTTAAGTTGAAAATTTTTTCTTCCCTTTGATTCAAGATGAACCAAATAAATTGATTTATTTATTGATTCAAGATGAACCAAATAAATTGGTTAAGAAGCCCTAAGTGGATATTAACCTCTGAATAGACTCAATTAAAATGCAAGTGTGTTTGTATTTGAATTTTGATGCCCAGTGCATTTTGTATCCAAATGCTATAATCTGTACCTGAAAATGTTACTGTTCATCACAAAAAATTAAAAAAAAATTATTTTAACAGATTTTAAATGGGAGTTATATAATTGGAGAGAAACAGATGAGTACTCCACAGAAATGAAACAGTTTGCATGTACGCTCTACTTGTGCAGTAGCAAAGTCTATGATTATGTAAGAAAGATTCTTAAGCTGCCTCATTCTTCCATCCTCAGAACGTAAGTGAATTATTTTTTATTTTTTAAAAATGGCTTTCTTGTCACCACATCTTGCTAACTACATGTGAATTACTCTTTAGATGTCAAACCATATTATTCTTTTATTGGATTTTATTTATTAAGGCTATTAGTACTCATACTTCCACTTAAAGAAAAAAATGGACTAATGAGAAAAATGGACTCTCATTTTCTATTTTTCAAAAACTTCTAGGTGATATTTACCTATTATCATATCAGCAGTACTTTCACCAACAAAATGAAGACACATAGTGTGACAAGTTTTTTGCATCTCCCAGTCTGGGTGATAAAATTTGAAGCCTGAAATATTGGAATTTCTAGTATACTTCAGATGTTCTAATAACTGACTATCCTGGAAAATATAGAACAGTTCTAGATTGATAACCATCCATCTTAAGCAAAGCACAAAAATCTGCATTTTTTCATAAGCACTGCATTTGATGCCAATGTAGGTTGTCCAGGGAACAGATTTTGATAAATAATTTTTTAGGATTTGTGATTAAAATGGATAGATATATTTCTAATTCTCTTAGTGTGGAGCAAGTAACGATTATTTTTGAGTAATACCTTCTAAATTTAATACTGAATTTTAAATTTTTACTGTTTTTACCACTACACTAGTTCTACAAATTTTTTTTTCTTGAGACTGAGTCTTGCTCTGTTGCCCAGGCTGCATGCAGTGCAGTGGCACAGTCGATCTCAGCTCACTGTAACCTTGCCTCCCAGGTTCAAGCAATTCTCGTGCCTCAGCCTCCTACTGAGTAGCTGGGATTACAGGTGTGCACCACCACATCCAGCTAATTTTTTGTATTTTTAGTAAAGACGGGGTTTTGCTATATTGGCCAAGCTGATTTCAAACTCCTGGCCTCAGTGATCTAACCGCCTTGGCCTCCCAAAGTGCTGGGATTACAGGCGTGAGCCACCACGCCCAGCCTAGTTTTACAGATTCTTTTTTTTTTTTTTTTTTTTGATATGCGAGTCTTGCTCTGTTGCTCAGGCTAGAGTGCAGTGGTGCAATCTTGGCTCACTGCAACTTCCTTCTCCCAGGTTCAAGCAGTTCTCCTGCCTCAGCCTTACTGCCACGCCTGGCTAATTTTTGTATTTTTGGTAGAGATGGGGTTTCACCATCTTGGCCAGGCTGGTCTTGAACTCCTGACCTACTGATCCACTCGCCTCATCCTCCCAAAATGCTGGGATTACAGGCATGAGCCAATGCACCCAGCCCAGCCCCAAAATGTAGATTTGGGGAGAAATCTTAGGCTTTTTAATTAAAATAATTAAAAACAAAAAAATATATATTTTCCTCTATACATGCCATAACAATAATACTACTGATAAAAAATTTAGAAATAATTGACCTTCAGAATAGGCTGAAGAAAAAAAAATTTAGAAGAGGGAAAATTTATTTATTGTTAACAGCATTTTCTTTCAGTCTTTGTGTGTGTGTGTGTGTGTGTGTGTGTGTTCACTTAGATTTACTAGTGTTTACATAGTTATGACCTTTTGTAAATAAATTTCCAACCAGCCTTTTATCACTTTATTATATATGCCTTTTATCTGTAACATTATTTTGAACTCTTTATAGACAAGTTTTAATAGCTGCATGATATCAGGTAGTCCTACCCTACTTAATTAACTCTGGCATTCTTCAACTATTGGACATTTCTATTGTTTCCATTTTGGGGTTATACTTGTTATTTCATATATTTAGATGAACATTTGTATATAAAACTTACTTTTTCATAGTGTGATTTTACCATTCAGGCTAAATATTATACTTATTTATAATTATTCATTTTTTGCTAAGCAAGATAGTTTTATAGGTACTCTATTGATAATTTCCCCTCCTATACCTTTTTGGTTGTTTTTTTGTTTTCTGGTTGATATATTAGTTGTACATATTCTGAGGGTACATGTGATATTTTGATACATGTGTACAATTTGTAATGATCAAAGCAGGGTAATTAAAATGTCCATTTATAAATCTAAACATCTATCTTTTCTTTGAGTTGAGAAGCTCTACCTTTTTAATCTCTTCTACATAGTTTTAAAGCATTACTTAATGTATTTCACTATGGTTTATATAAGATATTTCACGTAACTTCTCTTCTTTTTCATGGTTTTCTTCATTTTCCATAGTTCTGCATCACCTCCTAGAATGAATCTTCCTGGTAATTCAAGGTCACACTTATCTTTTCTCTCTTCATGTCATTTTGCATTTTGTGACCTTTGCTGTGACATTATATATTTAGATTTATAATTCCAGTACTCAAACAGTTGCTCATTTCTTTAGGTTCTTTGCCTAAGTAAGGTATATTGTTTAGTATGATATTAATACATGTTTGTTATAAAACATTCAAACAGTATATAAGTACATGAATACCAGAAAGTGAAAAACACAATACTTCCCTTTCCATAATCCTACAACATAACTACAATTAGCAGTTTTGTGTGTATCCTCCCAGAGTTAAAAAAAAAAAACAAACCAACTATCTACCAATAAAATTTTGTTTTAGTGGCCATATAGTGTTCTGTTACATTAACGGTATATAGTTTTCATTTATTTTCTATTAATATAAGGTTCTTAGATTAATGGTATATACATTTCCATTTATTTTCCCATTTAAAAAGTGATCTGTTTTTAACACAGTTATCTTAAGTATTAGATTTTTATAATCATATTCAGTATTCATTTATTCAATAAATATTTATTGATCAGGAGCGGCCGGTGAGGCAGGAGGAAAACCAGGAGATTGTGGTGGCCTGGAAGCCAAGTGTAGAAAGTATTTCAAGGAGGGAGTAGTCCACTATGTCAAATGCTGCTGGGAGATCAGGTAAGATGAGGACAGAATTGACAATTGGATTTTGCAAGATGAAGGTCATTGATGACCATGATAAAAGCAGTTACAGTAGTGTGGTGGAGAGGTAAACCTGGTTGGAGTGGGATTAAGAGAGACTAAAGGTGAAGAAGTAGAGAAAATGATTGTGGACTCTTCCGTGGAATTTTGCTATGAAGGAGAGCAGAGAAATAGGTCTGTAGGTAGAAGGGAACATGCATTGAGGGAAGAGTGTTTGTTGAGATGGCAGATGTCCCAGCATGTTTGTGTGTTTATGGGAATGATCCAAGAGAGAAGAAAATTGGCAATGTGTAAGAGAAAGGATAATTGCAGGAAGAACACCCAGCACCATTGTGGAGTGAAGTATGACCTTGAGGTATTGGAACAGTTCATCCACTGAAACAGGAAGAAAGGCAGAAGTACAGATACAGTTGGTTAACAGATTTGGTAGTAGGAAAATGAGTTTTGTCTTTTAAAAAGATGGGGCCTCGGCCAGGCAAGATGGCTCACGTTTGTAATCTCAGCACTTTGGGAGGTCGAGTCAAGCAGATCATGAGTTCAGGAGTTCAAGACCAGCCTGGCCAATATGGTGAAACCCCGTCTGTACTAAAAAATACAAAAATTAGCTGGGTGTGGTAGTGGGCACCTGTAAATCCCAGCTACTCGGGAGGCTGAGTGAGGCAGGAGAATCGCTTGAACCTGGGAGGCAGAGGTTGCAGTGAGCAGAGACCACACCATTGCACTCCAGCCTGGGCAACAGCAAAACTCCCTCTCCAAAAAAAAAAAGGAAAAACAAGATGGGGCCTCATTGTGTTGCCCAGGCTAGCCTTGAACTCCTGGGCTCAAGCAGTCTTCCAATTAGCCTACCCGAGTAGCTAGAACTATACACATGCACCACCACACTCAGCAGGAAAATGAGTTTTTACTGGATTGCTTCTGTTTTCTCAATGAAATAGTTATTAACTGAGAGTTGGCAAGGAAGGGATTAGATTTGGGGAGAAAGGAGAAAATGTGACCAGTCACCGGCCAGGGAAAGTAAGTAACTGGAAAAAGGCAGTACCAGAATTGTAGTCAAAACTGGTGTCTTTCCCTCCATAGTGATGGAGAAACAATTAGATGGTTAACAATTAAACGATGACAGACCAAAGTAGACTTAAATTTTTTAAAACCCTTGGTTTGGTTATAGGGTACCTTACAAATTTCTAATTGTCATACATCTTTCTCTATTCTTAGCTATATCAGATACTTCTCTAATTTTCTCTTTACTGATATTGTATCCTTTTTCAGTTCTCCCTGGATTCTTTATGTCCAAAACTTTCCCAAAGCTGTATTTTTTTATAATTCCAGTGTTTGGGGTCTTTAAGGTAATTTATTTTCACAAAACCTTTGAAACTAAGTCTTAATATTCTCAACTTATTATAATAGTGATATATTCAGTGGTATATTTAGCATAGATAGAAAATGCTGGCACAGTTGTTCCTTATTTATATTTCCTCTGTTTCTAATTTTTGGTTTATATTCACTGCAGTTTAGTAAATGAACTCCCTCTATAATTTACCTGCTATGAGAGAATCAAAAGTAAGAACAGCAAGAGTAGCTAAAAGTTTTAACAGAAAAACACTTAGTACTTTGGATCTCTAGGACTATATTTTTTCCCAGGCAGAATTTTTTTTTTTTTTTTTTTTGAGATAGAGTCTTGCTTGGTCGCCAGGCTGGAGTGCAGTGACGTGATCTTGGCTCACTGCAACCTCCGCCTCCCAGGTTTAAGCGATTCTCCTGCTTCAGCTTCCCAAGAAACTGGGACTGCAGGTGCGCGCCCCACACCCAGCTAACTTTTGTATTTTTAGTAGAGATGGCGTTTCATCATGTTGGCCAGGATAGTCTCAATCTCTTGACCTCGTGATCCACCCACCTCAGCTTTTCAAAGTGCTGGGATTACAGGTGTGAGCCACCGTACCCTGTCTCCCAGGCAGAATTTTAAGCTACCCAACTGATTGCCTATAATAATTCCATAACTAAGTTATTAGATATTGGTTTGTTAATTTAAAATATCATGTTGATGAGAATGTAAATGAAAATTAGTTTGAACTTTTGCAAGGACAATTTGGGAATATTAATTTTAAATTGACACACCTAGTTATGTGC